GGCTTTGCCATCTGGACAATGGCAGCCAGCGTGCTGGCTTACCCACTGCAACTATGATGCTAGCCAGCGTGCTGGCTTTGCCATCTCAACAATTGCATCCCCACATGCCGCACTGCAGACTGAACAATAACGTGTGAATCATCTGCCTCTGGTCATCCTGGTTGACGCTGAAGAAGTGGTCGTCAACAATGCCAAGGTTCCCTGGCATGATGGCTGGGCAAAGAGGAATAAGAAGGCTCTGGTTCATGTGCGATATGAATATTGCAAAAGCTTGTGGGTTGCGTGAACCTTCTTCCAAGTATATTCGTCACTGCTGTTGAGTAGATATTTTAGTAGTTAACCAACCACTATGCTTGTCATTGAGTAATTGACTGTCTCAGAGAAAAATGCGACAAAGTAGCGTGAGGTGACACACAGCAGGCACTGTAGATGTTTTAGTGCACTCTCGCTGTTCGGCTCGCGACTAGTCTTTGTACACAGCAAGGATAGCGTTGCGCTTCCGCAGAACGACGTCCACACAGAATTTATCAGGAAGAAGTCACGGTATGAGACACACAGTTGGTTGGGTCTAGCGCGTCCCCCCGAAGCAGATCTGGATGGTGTAGGCATCTGTGAAGTTGCGGCTGTTGTTCCTCACCCAGTCGCGCCATCCACTGGACCACTGGACCACTCGCCAAACCTGCGATGTTTCTCCATGGGCAACCCAGTATCTGTTTGCTATGGACTGGTTTGGCCATCTTGCATGGATGAGCTCTGGGTGGTCGTCATGGTATGTCCTGCTTCCATAGGACCAACAGAGGCACACCTGTCTCTGGTCATCATGGGTGACGCTGAAGAAGTGATCCTCCTGGCACGATTGTAAATTGGTAAATAGCACATGCATAGCTATAAGAAGGCTCGGTTTGCCAGGCTCCACAGTCGCTCTGCTACATCCACTGGATCTGCGCGATCCCAGCAATCCACCAACTGCCACCAACCTTGCGTCCAACATATTTTCGATGGAGACAGTATATATGTTTGCGACCGAACAAAAGCCAAACAAACATCAGACCCCACAACACAATTCCGGTCCACACGTGCCACGCCTCTGCGCTGTAGCGGCCGACTCTCCAACAACACAGCGAGCAAACTACTGCACTGCAATCCAGACAAACGGTCTGGCCATCTAATGCTTTGCAGTTGTTCCATCGCAGTGGTCCACGTCTCTGGCACTTCAGCTGGAAACTGAACATTCAAAGCAGAAAGGTGTTGCAAGATGGCAACGGTGGCCTTGCTCAATTGCTCCAGCTCCGCGGCCGCGCTTCCATGCCTCCTCTCAATACTTTCCAACGGAACATCTTCGCAAATACTAAGCATGGATCGCCGTAGCTGTGTCGCAGGAAAACTGACAGATGCCTTTGCTACGAGGTCTGCTGCAGGAACGGTCCGGCAATCTGCGAGCCAGCGCCAAAAGTGATACCTCACATCATTTTCCGCCCCGGGCGCTCGCAGCGGACAGAGCGACAGAACGATGCTATCCACTAGCCTGTTCCGATGCATATGCTCGCAAGGTAGGCCCAACTCCGAAGCTATATCCACCAAGGACGGCTCCGCGTTCCTCAGACGCACACCCCTCAGACGACCTCGGAGGGTCGGCGGTGCTTGGTCTCCCAGCTCCTGCGCCAAGCGTCGTAGTGACTCCGCAGTCACCGGTTCCTCCGCAGTGACGCTTGCGCAGATACATTCAACTTGGGTATCATTCAACTTGGGTATCATTCAACTTACAGGGATATCAGAAGCAGACACCTATTGGACCGCAAGAAAACAGAGTCTCAACTAAGTTCAACTATACACTGCACCCATCCCCTAACACAGATTGGGTGTCTTAACAAAGATTGAAAGTCTTATATCAAGATGTCTTTTGCTTGGTCGAATACATCTACACGTCACAAAACCATTGTAACCAATGTTGAGTGTCTCAGAAAGCTTGGAATTCTTATATCTAGATATCTTTTCCTTACTCCAAGACAGCTACAAATCACGAAGCCGTCCTCCATGTTCGGATGTGCCGGTTCCTGTCAGGGATTTTGCTTGGATACCAAAAGCAGACACCCATCCCCGAACACAACCCTTCCTGCAAAGCGCAGCTTTCCACTATCGAGTCTAGCCAACACCTACTTCAACACAAACAGCTTGTGTGCAAAGTTCAACAGCGCTCTACGCCCATCCCCTTACTCCAGCCCTCCTGCGATGAGAAGCAGTCCACTATGGATTCCAGCAGCTGCTCCTTCCGAAGGGTTCTGCCGTCGCGCCTCTGCGGCAGCCCCAACATAGCGCACAGCCGTCGCAAGTCGGTGTAGTTCTTGGCCTCCAACTCGGTCCGCAACCACGCCGCGCCTCCCTCCCGGTGTCCGTCTCGCAGGCGCTGCACCTCTGGCTCCTGCTGCCCTGCTTCCTGTATGGGAATTTGCAGGGATATCAGAAGCAGACACCTATTGGAGCACAAGAAAACAGCGGTTGAACTGTACACTGCACCCATCCCCTAACACAAATTGGGTATCTGAACAAAGCTTGTTGGGTATCTGAACAAAGATTGAAAAGTCTTATATCTAGATGTCTTTCACAAAACCGTCCTCAACGTTCGGATGTCCCGGTTCCTGTCAGGGATTTTGCTTGGATACCAAAAGCAGACACCCATCCCCGAACTGAAAGTCTTATATCAAGATGTCTTTTGCTTGGTCGAATACATCTACACGTCACAAAACCATTGTAACCAAGGTTGAGTGTCTCAGAAAGCTTGGGAGTCTTATATCTAGATATCTTTTCCTTACTCCAAGACAGCTACAAATCACGAAACCGTCCTCCATGTTCGGATGTGCCGGTTCCTGTCAGGGATTTTGCTTGGATACCAAAAGCAGACACCCATCCCCGAACACAACCCTTCCCGCAAAGCGCAGCTTTCCACTGTCGGGTCTACCCGACACCTACTGCAACATAAACAGCTTGTGCGCAAAGTTAGACACCGCTCTACGCCCATCCCCTGACTCCGTCCCTCCTGCGATGAGAAGTTCTCCACTATGGCTTCCAGCAGCTGCTCCGTCCGAAGGGCTGCACCGTCGCGCTTCTGCGGCAGTCCCAACTCAGCGCACAGCCGTCGCAAGTCGGAAGTGCTCTTGGCCTCCAACTCAGTCCGCAACCTTGCCGCGCATCCCTCTCCATGTCCCTCTCGCAGGCGCTGCACCTCTGACTCCTGCTGCCCTGCTTCCTGTATGGGAATTTGCAGGGATATCAGAAGCAGACGCCTATTGGACCACAAGAAAACAGAGTCTCAACTAAGTTCAACTATACACTGCACCCATCCCCTAACACAGATTGCGTGTCTTAACAAAGATTGAAAGTCTTATATCAAGATGTCCTTTGCTTGGTCGAATACATCTACACGTCACAATACCATTGAGCGTCTCAGAAAGCTTGGAAGTCTTATATCTAGATATCTTTTCCTTACTCCAAGACAGCTACAAATCACGAAACCGTCCTCCATGTTCGGATGCGCCGGTTCCTGTCACTTGGTGGCCGGGGTTGTGTTGCTGGATATATATGTAAGTACAACCGCTGTACAAGTATTTGTAAGCTGGTTATAACATAGGCCAAGTGGTCTGTAACAGGCCCAAGTAGCATAAGTTTTGTAGCCGAACTCAGGTCAGATATAAGTAATTTATTGATGTTAACGCAATTCTTAAGTTTTTATAAGTTTTGTTAAGTGTGCATAAAAAGACTTTGATTTGAACATATAAACAAGTTGTTAAACTTATGATTTTCTATTTTTGGAAATGCAAGTTTTTTTGGGGGGCATCATTTCTGACTTTTTTTGGCGCCATGTGGGAGCAGCCACCCTTCTGTCTTGCGGCAAGCGCATGGCTTTGAAAGCCACGTGCGCTTGTATTGGAAAGGTATACAACATCCTGCGGGGTGTGTATATAGACCATATATACAGATGTCATATGACTGTCGCGGCGCATTGCGCCGCGCGAGCCAAGGGCATTCTTGTTTTTTTGGACGTGCGTATATGATATATATTGTGTGTGCGTCGGCGTGTTGTTGACAATGAAATGACAATGTGCAATGGTGACTTCGTTGTTTTTATATGTGCATATCATGTGGTGCACGTTACGATGTGGTCATGTAAACACCCTGCGCCAATGTGGGTTGTAACAACACAATCGTGTATGATCATTGCGATTGAAAGTTTTCGTTGCCCGGCTTTTTGTTTGGCCTGATGATTGCGAATCGTGTGTGGATGTTGCGATTTGGAAAAGGGTATGCGATCGTTTTGCGGTGCGTTTTGTGCAGCCAGTCAAGCTTTAGCATCGCCGACGGTTGTGATTGTTGTTACAGTTTTGCTTTGCTTAATGATTGTGAATCGCGCGCGCGTGTTGCGATTTGGCACGTGATATTTACGTGATATTTGGTCTCTTTGCGGCTCTTTGAGCCGCAGCCTTTCAATCACCTGATAGCTTGATACTAAAACAAATGTGTTTAATGCGCAGTTGCTATGATTCTTGTTTTGCCAACTGTGCTGGGCCATACAGTTGTATATGACCCGCAGGTTCAGGTGTTTTTTAGCCATCTGCGTGCTGAGTAAGCAAGATGGCATTTGAGAGACTGCGGGCTCTTGAAAGCTATCTCGATGAGTGCAAGAGTTTGTCGAACTTCAATGAGATCCTCGAGAAGCAGTGCGCGCAGGTTGTTAGAGAAGTCAATGAACTCTCAAAACTGGAGATGGGTGAAGCTGCTCCGCTCTTGGCCATGGTCCAGCAAAACAAATTGTGGACCAAGGAGATGCAGGATACCATTTGCCAAGCCTTGACAGATAAAGTCGAGCAGTCATTGGGTCGCAATGTGCTGAGCGCCAGGTCCAACTTGCAGGACTTTGTGCACTGCCCTTTGTATCTGACTGAGGCCGACTGGGCAGTAGTCCTTGGAGATGGCAACGTAGCAGAGAAGAACCAATGCCTCATGGAACGCCTGTACAAACTTGGTCTTCGAAATCCTACCGAGGACACGTACGCTATGCTGACGACTCTGCTGCTTTTGAAAGAGCCGCACCGATTCAATGACTTTGTTCAACTACGATCATCGTATTTGGCAGTGAAAAACCTTGTGAAGAGTTTCTTGAAGAACCAAGGCAAGAGTGCGCAGGGTGCCACGCAGAACTTACCAAATCGTTTGCCTCCGACTGTGTCCGCCTACTTGCAGGAGGAGGTCAAGAATGATGTGTATGGGCCTGGAGGTGGCCCAGCCCCATTGCCAAATGGAGTGAGCATGCTCAACCTCACACAGTTGATGCAAACTGTTCCAGAAAGATCGACGAGAAGTACAATTTCGACTTTGGTGCCAAAGTCGCAACCGCATCCAGCCGTGGAAAGTATGATGCACGCCATGAACAACATGTGGTTCCAATCTATGCAATCCATGCATTCAATGTCGCCGTTTGGATTTGGTCAGGCCAGTCAGCAGGGGCCCCATTTGTCTATTGCGCCAGCCAGGCAACAATTGGCCTTGCCTGCCCCAGGTGTCACGGTACCTCAAGCGGCTTTGGCTGCCCCAGCGGTCACTGCGCCTCAAGCCAAGGCGGCAGGAGTTGAGAATCAGATTTCACAGATTGAAGTCGTGACGCCGCAGCCTTCAATGCAAGCGCCAGCAGCTTCTTCTGTGAAAGCTCCCCTTGCGATCGAAAATGGACCATCAGTCCCTGAGACAGGGGCGCAAGAGAAGACCAAGGAGGCTTCGGCTTTGTCGGTCAATGAGAGGTTGGAAGAAGCTTTGCAAACAAGAGACATGGAAAAGAAAGAAAAGATGGATCAACAGGTGGAAGAGAAGATGGATGCTCAGGAGAAGGTTTCAAGTCAGCCAAAAGATCAGGAGGCACCGTTGCTGAAGAAACCGGCTGCGGCGAAGCCGAAGGCGAAGGCCAAAGCGCCACCGATAAAGACTCCAGTGTTGAAGCGGCCTGCTTCTTCTTCACCTGCTTCAGCGCCTGCGCCAATGCCATCGACGAAAGAGAGGTTGAGGTTGTTTCCCAATGGATGCTCAAAGTGTCGTGAAGTACCAGGTTGCTGTCGCAGCTGCTGGAAGGGGAGAGGCTACCGCGTGGACTAGTGGCCGTTGTCAAACCTTTTTGCGATCAAATGGAAAAGGGATAGCTGGTATTGCTTGGTGGATTGTTGCGGGTTGTAGAGTGCGTCAGCGGCCCCTTGGGCCGCTACGTAATTGCAGCAGGGTGGTAGCTGGTTTGTTGTGGGTTGTAGAGTGCGTCAGCGGCCCCTTGGGTCGCTACATAGTTGCAGCTACGTTTCGGCTCTGTATACATCAGCAATACATCATGTGTTTTCTTTGAAAGCTTTTAGGGCGTTTAAATTTTATTTGGTTGTTGTAAGACTTTGCTGCTCAAGGTCTGCGCAACTCCTCAAAATGAATGAGGAGAAGTCAAAGCACCGCAAAAGGAAAAAGTCTAGGGCCCTTGACCCTGAGGAGCCTGATGTTTCCAATCGTGACGGCCCCCTGCGCTTCATTGAGGTCTCTTATGGCTCAGCTGATGATGTCGTGGACCCTCGGCGCACACTGCAAGAGCTTCGGGCTGTGCAGGACGATGAGACAGAGCCGTCCAGTGAGTGTGATGAGGAGCTGGAATTGGAGTTTTATGGTCGTGAAGAAAAACGAAATCAGGGTCATGAGCAGCCCAGCAACCAGCCATCTCTGGCTCATGCTGAAGTCAAAGAAGAAGTGCAGCGTTTGCTGTTCGTGGCTATGTTGAAAGAATCAATTTCAGGGAGCGCCTGCAAATTTGCAGCACCGGTGCCGCCTGTTCATGAACCTAGCGTGCCATTTGCTGGCAGCAAATGCAAAGCAGCATCTGCGCCGCCTCCGCCTCCTCAACCTCACACAAACAGTGCGGCCAGTCCTGCGCCATCAATCCAGCCAATTGCCAAGCCTGTTCTTGCACCACCAGTTTGCAGTCCTGACGGAGTTCAAGCCACCACAGTGCCGGCATCTGCAAAGGCTACTGTCCCAGAGCGCCCTCCATGCCCACGTGCAACTGGTTTGGCTGGGACAAAGAATGAGGGGTTCTACTACGTGACTTGTTCATGGCAAATCTGGATTTTTTGTTGAAAGCCTCCACAGTTTTGCGCATATTTTTTAATGCCTGGCTGTAACTTGTTGATGCCTTGCTGAAAGTTTTTGGGATTGATGTTTTGTTCTCTTTTGTGGTTTGCTGCAGCACTTCTTGAGGATTTATTCTCATCGAAAAGGGAGTTTGAGCGACTTGTAAGAAATCAACACCGACCACGAGGTGGGAAAGCTCAGCGTGCAAAGGGCAATGGCAAAGGCCAAGATGGGTGATTCATGTAGTCTTTTGATGAAAAAATAACGCGAGTGATGAGAGGTGCGTAGGACAAACTGATACCTTGCGGCTCCTTGAGCCGTAGGTAATTCGTTTCGCGCGCATTGCGCGTACATTTGTCGAGATATTGTGGTTTACGTCAGGACTATACTATGCGATAATGCATGGAGTGGTGCTTATGGTATATAGATTGGCATGGTCCACAAACACAGGTTTGTTTCCATCTGCGGCTCATTGAGCCGCGGCTCATGTCCAGCGTTTGTGCGTGTGTTTGTTTGTTTGTTTATTTCCCTTTCACCATCAATGCTCTCGGAGCTTTTGTGGCTCCACGTGAAACCACCTGGTCCAATCAGTAATGGACAAAGACTTCCAACTTCCCCATGGCTCATTGGGGAATATGTCAGTGCTTGCGTTACTTAGATTGCTGATGACGGAGGCGCGAGAACTTTTTCGACGTCTGGATACCCAAAGGCTTCAAGAAGAAGATGGATCTTACCAGGGCTTCGATGACACAGGGTTTGGTCTTGGGGGGCAATCTCACCATGTACCTTCTCAACCTGTTCATCATCCTGCGCGCTGTGGAGGCACATGTTGCATCTGTGGCATTGCGTGCGTGCGTTTGGAGCCTGGACACAAGCATTGCCAGCGCAAGCGACATTTGCATTGCCGCTGACTACAGTAACATAAAAAATGCCTCTCATGGTAGCATTTCAATACATAGCAACCTTGAGGCGGCTCAATGAGCCGCCACTGATGTAACTATAGGTCTTTGAAGTGTAAGAAGAACAAGAAGCACTAGACTTTGTGTGACTTTGTATTTTCTGATGCATATATATATATATATAGCATGAGCGGCTCATTGAGCCGCTTTTGGTGTATCCGTCTAGGATGAAATACTTGTTGATCACTTATTAGGTATTGAGCAGTTACATACGCTCAAGCTATCCAAAACCTACAGAGCCCTTTTAAGTTCCCAAGCCATTGCGTCCTAGATTGCTTTTTCCCACAATGCAAACCTTGGAGGAATACTATGAGTCAGTGCGGCCTGAAAATGGCTTCACTATCATGGGTAATGGCCATGTTGTCAGGGGGAAGAATCCCAACAGTTACACCGAGGAGCAGATTGAACACTACAAGAAGGTCTGGGTGACCATGAAGCTCGAGGGATACTTTGATGAGAAGGCAGGTGAAGTTGAGAATCCCAGCAACCCCTACGGCAATCCTCGCCAGCAACCCCTACAACCACGTGGTTCGTCTGCATCTAGCAGTTCCACCATGGCCTATGTTGCTACAGGGCTTGGGGATGCAACATCGCAAGAGGCCAGCGCGTCCAATGACATGCCCGACGAGAAGGGTGATCGTGGCACTTCAAAAAAGAAGAAGAAGAACAAGCCCAAGAAGGGTAAGAAGAACAAAAGACATACCTAGATGTCTGACACGTCGGAGCGCTGGTATCTTGGAACGAAAGATGTGATTATATTCGATGTCAATGAGGTGATTGCACATTGATGACATCATATAAAAATATACATGTTTATACATTATTTATACACTTTTATACATGTATAACTCTGATGTTGTTAAGTTTATACATGTATAACTTTGATTTGGTTCAAGTTATACACGTATAACTTTATATTTTTTGGATTTATACATGTATAACTTTTTACCATTTTTGATTTATACACTTTTATACATTTTTATACATTGCGTATACACTTTGTATACAATTTTTGATTTTTATTTTTTTGATACATATACCTTTGTCTTTTTAAGCAATATATAACATTTCATCCCTTTGGCGGCTCCATGAGCCGCTTGGTTTGTTTATGTTCATTCATTGTGTTTTATATTTTTCAATTGGTCTTGGACTGGAGACTGCCCATGCAAATTCCTTCCAAATCCATTTTGAGCGGCTCTCTGAGCCCGCAGATTCTGACGTTCTGACACAGTGCAGCATTGGATCCATCAGTCGCCTTCCAGAAGCCCGCCGAGCCCTTGCCTTGTCATGGCTGAGGAATGCCCACTGCCTGAAGCAGAACCATGTGCAACTGTGGTGGTTGAGAGTCAGACTCAGCACTCGCCTGACAACCAGCTGGGCAATGAAAGTGTCCAGGAGGGCTTGGGAGATCGAGGAATAGAGGGGTCGGGAGATAAGGAATTGTTGAGGCAGCCGTGGGCGCCCGCCCTGAGGTACCTCTAGAGCCAGTTGATCCCAACATGCCAGCCACACAGCTCTATGAGGATGGCACCAGTGGCCCTGTTGGCCCAGCCAGAGAGGACATGGCCCCGGCCAGTGGCCCTGAGACCAAGGCCCCGGAGACTGAGGAGGTGCCTCAGGTGAATCCTGGCATTGGCCCCTTCGTGGAGACTCAGGTTGTCCCGCAGGACGGCGACGGAGATCAGGACTTTGACATTGCTCTTGTCACCTGCAAGAAGTGCAATCTTCCATTGAAGCTGGAAGAAGCCATCATCAGGGGACCACGAGAACTCTGGTGTCGCGAATGTAATTCCATATACACCATGTTGCGAAGGCATCAGGCTTGGCCGCCGGCAGCCTTTGCCCAGTTGTCCGACTCTGACCAGCAATGCTTTTTTGCTCGATGCAAACAGCAAAAGGATGAGTCTGCAAGGTCACAGTTCTCTTACAGCAGGATCCGAGATGTCCTGGTCTCCAGCCTGATGTCGGAGCAGAGGAAGCAAAAAACATTGGCAGTGGGCGGTACATACCTCCCACTGTCAGTGTACAAACAGCGGGGGTACATTATCGACGAGGCCTTTACTGAAAGGAACCCATGCCAGTGGAGTCACGGACTCAATTGCTATACCTATTTACTTGCCGAGACATCGATCTCTGAGGCTGAGATCCATGCTACCGTTGAGCAGCAGGTCGTTACCGCGGAGAGAATGGTCAAGAAGCGCAAAGCAGTACGTGCTTCTGACAAGAACGAGGTGGAGGACGATGCCAGGAGCACGAAGCCCATGGTGCTTGACCTTGTTTCTGACGACGAGGATGAAGGTTCCACGCGTGATTGGCTTTCATTCTTGGTTTGCGATTTATATATACACATATTACATTTCAATTACACTGTACCTTGCTTATGTATTTATGTACAATATACTTTTCATATCTTTTCATTTTCTGCCAGATCTAAAACAAAGACTTTATTCTTGAAACAATACCTGCAGTAGTGTGCAATTCAATTCAATCCTTTTGAGCGGCTCCATGAGCCGCTCAGTTTGTTTGTGGGGATGTTCATAGTGGCTTTTGTTCATTTTCACTGTCCTTGACGTGTAAACTGCGTTACGTGCAGGTGAGAAAAATGGTCCCAGTTCTGGTCCAGCTCATCCTCGGCCAGAGTCAGAGGCTCAGGAGGTTGAGGAGAAGCAGCTCACCGCGAAGCAGCTCCAGGCCAAGCTGAAGCGTGAGGCTGCCAAGGTCACAAAGCTCGCAGCTGCTGAGGAGCGAAGGAAAGAAGCCCAGAGGAAGAAAGATGCCAAGGCCTTGACGAAGAAGGTGGTTGCTATGTCATCAAAGCTTTCTGCTCCTCTAGCAGCGGCGGTGCACAAGGCCAATGAGGTTGTGGCAAAGGCTGAGTCGGCTGGTGTGGGTGACGCTCCGGAGACACAGGCGTTCAAGAGCCAGCTGCAAATCGTTGACGACTACAAGAAGAAGACTGCCTCCTCCTTGGCTTACTACAGCAAGAATCCGACCTGTGAACTCAGCGCCTTGCCTTTCGACAATGAGAAAACTTGTCAGCAGGCAATGAAGGATATGGCAAAGGCAGGCAGTGACTTGAAGGCAATGGTCATCAATCCAGCTGCCGCCGCTGGCAAGTCCTAGATTTGAAGATGGTGGAGTAGATTTGCAGAGTAGATCTTACGCATTTGGCGCACATAGAAGCAACTCTGTTGATGATCTAGTTTTGATTTCTCCTTAGAGCATCCTTGGCTTAGCTGCTCAGAACATGTCGTGCGAGCAGGTGCCTTTAGCTGCAAGTGGAGCAGGTTCTCGACAACCTGATGGGAAAAGGGGGCGGGTTTGGGTTTACACTTTGTAGAAAAAACAACTAGGACCTTTTTATGTTCTTAGGCGGCTCCATGAGCCGCCTTATAATATATTGTCCTTAAACACCCATCATCTACAATGGAGATTGTAACAAATCAAACCTGTTAATTTTCTTTTGCGGCTCCATGAGCCGCCTCATACATTGCCCTTGTCACGCGTAGTGATTCATTGCGCACACCTACAATATAAAGTCGACGCCTCAACTGATACCGCAGTTGTTGGTGCAAAGTTTTTGTGGTGACCCGAGCCAGTATCGCTATAGATATGGCGCGCGAACAAATGATACATGGGAAAAAAGAGAAAATCAGAGAGTTCAAACCCTGCTGCAGTCACTATAGAGCAGACTCAGGGACTACATAGCGTGGCCGACGAATCGCGGCGCAAAATATTCAATGCAGCAGCGAAAGCTTTAGGACACCCAGAAGAACAAGTCAAAAAGTCTGCGTGGAAGAAAATTATTTTTGACAGTTGCCCAGACGTCTTTTTTCGCGTTGAAATGCCTGGCGTGGACCCTGCTGAGCCTGTGTGTTTCTACATGGCCAAGATCCCTCAACTATTGCAGCGCATCATCAACACTTGTCCGAACTATGCTGCCCTGGTAGATGGCGTTGTGACTCGGGAACCTGGCATTTGCTTTCAGTTGATATGCTACAACGACGAGGCCACAGCCGGGAACATACTACAGCCAGAATCTTGTAAGAAGGCTTCGCTCTGGTATTTTTGTTTGAGGGAGCTGGGCTGGCGCCACTGCGACTCTACATGGCATCCATTATGTTTCATCCAGCACAGCGATTTTTCCAAAGTGCTTGGAGGGTTTGGTGCCATTGCACGAAGGATTGTGCGGTTGATTATTGATCAAGATTTGCCACAGGGCTTCCCAATCCAACTGAATCATCGTGCAACTTTGCTCAAATGCAAACTTTCTTGGATGATCAGCGATCTCGACAGCATTCGTGGATCCATGAACTTGAAGGGCAGTGCTGCAATCAGGTGTTGCCTTTCCTGCCGCAATTGCGTGAAGAAGAATTGTGGGTTAGATTCAGCCGAATTTCTTGAAATCACTTCTGACAATTTCGAAGCTTTCGTCGAACAAACTGATTCCGACATATTTCAAGTGTGGGATAACCTCCTAGTGCAGAAGAATACATTGCGCAAGGGAATATTCCAAAAAAAAGAGCAAGCAGCAGGCTTCAATGTCTGCGAGCACGCGTACCTTAGCGACCCTCTGGTCAGGGAACAGCTTCCACCATCAAGCTTTTTGATTGATTCCATGCATTTGTATTGGAGCAATGGGATTGTCGGATGGGAAATCAACTCAGCATATGAACGTTGGATGGCAACAGGGATTGGCAATTTACAATCCTTTCTCCAGCTCAGTTGGTGCACGACCCAGCAAAAATCAAACACTTGCTCTTGGAGATTCAGCCTGGCTCACCCATCTATGTTTAGTGGTGCGGCCTACAAAGGGTCAGCTAGTAACCTCCAAGCTTTTCTACCGCTCTTCCATTTTTTCTTGGAAGGTTGCATGGAGCCAAGAGGACTTATGACACCTGAACTCAACAGCATGAGGGCTCTCAGACGCATCGCTATAGAGATGCGAAAGATTCAACATATGGACACACCCATGATTGATGAGCTGAAGTCGCTACAGGCAAAACACCAAACTTTGACCATTGCAGCATTTGGCTACGACCATATCAGACCAAAACACCACGCAAGGCTGCATCATGCATTGCAACTTTTGAGAGCTGGATTCCAAGTGGACTGCTTTCCAGGGGAACGAAAGCACCGCTTTTTCAAAAGCCACATCGGTGTACACCGCTTCGATACGTTTGTCAAGGGCGACCGCGGAGCTTACAGCCACTTGATTTTACGACAAGTTTGGCAACACCATTTAGAACAATTGGTGAATTATTCTTTCTCCACATCCTTGGTGGGAAAGGAATCGCAGGATCCTCATATGGCCCAGTTGCTCGGCTTTTCCGAATGTCGTGTCAGCAACGCTGTGCAGCACCATGGTCGGACTATCTCCAAAGGAGACCTACTACTGGGAAACTATCCTGGGCAGGTGGTGTGTGCTTTGCAACACAAACAAGATTTCTGGTTGCGTTTGAAAACAATGACAATGGTGTCCAGTACTGAGTTCACGAGCGAATGGAAAAGGAACGAAGATGAACAACTGATACCAGCATCTCATGCTGGTAGAAGCCCTATGTGGTGGTTGGAGAAAGACAACGCCGTGTTCCTCTGTCTTCATTGAGGTGAAAAATATTTTGCGTGGGTAGAGGCTGATCTCAAGTGTTTGTACTAAATGGTATAGATATATTCTGTTCAAAACGGCGGCTCATTGAGCCGCCAATGTGTATATATATAGTCTCAGAAAACATGTTTGGGGTCAACCGTTTCTATTTTTGGGTCAGTCTATATATATATATATATCTGTGTTCACATGGCGGCTCATTGAGCCGCCAATGTGTGTATTGATTGATACAAAATCACTCATATGTATATTTATATGTGTGTGTACACTATAGTTGTTACATACATTCCTGGTCCAAAATGAAGATAGTGATCAACACGGCCAATGAGCCGCCGCCAATGTGAAACATATATATACATACTCTTGGCGCAGGCGAATTTTCGCAATGGCGCTGTCCATGTGCCTGGCTCCATTGTATATAGAGAGCCCTGCAAAATTCAATCCATTGCTCAAAAATATTGCTTGAACGCAAATTTTCAAAAACCACATGGCGCCAAAAAAACCTATAGCGAGAAAACTGAAAATTTGTTAAAAAAGATATAAGTTAGTTATATCAAATTTACTAAAGTTAACGAAGCCTTCAAAAACCAATGATCTCTCAAGTTTCTTAAGTTCATTTATAACTCCACGATGTGCCGTATGTCTGGTATCTAAGTTATATGTCAGCTACCAACAAAGCGGCCACCAAGCAGGGATTTTGCTTGGATACCAAAAGCAGACACCCATCCCCGAACACAACCCTTCCCGGAAAGCGCAGCTTTCCACTGTCGGGTCTACCCGACACCTACTGCAACATAAACGGCTTGTGCGCAAAGTTAGACGCCGCTCTACGCCCATCCCCTGACTCCGTCCCTCCTGCGATGAGAAGTTCTCCACTATGGCTTCCAGCAGCTGCTCCTTCCGAAGGGCTGCACCGTCGCGCTTCTGCGGCAGTCCCAACTCAGCGCACAGCCGTCGCAAGTCGGCGCGGCTCTTAGGCTCCAACTCGGCCCGCAACCATGCCGCACCTCCCTCTCCATGTCCATCTCGCAGGCGCTGCAACTCTGGCTCCTGCTGCCCTGCTTCCTGTATGGGAATTTGCAGGGATTTCAGAGCCCCTAACACAAATTGGGTATCTTAACAAAGATTGAAAGTAGATTCTAGATGTCTTTCACGCAACCGTCCTCAACGTTCGGGTGTGCCGGTTCCTGTCAGGGACTTTGCGTGGAGACCAAAAGCAGACACCCATCCCCGAACACAACCCCTCCTGCGAAGAGCAGCTATCCACTATCGAGTCTAGCCGACGCCTACTGCAACATAAACAGCTCGTGCGCAAAGTTACACTGTACACTACGCCCGGACCTGCGAAAGAATTTCATAAACATCTGCTTTATGCTGGCTTGGCCACCTATCTATACATACATATATACATCTATATCAGGATACTATGGCAGCCAGTGTGCTGGCTTTGCCACTTTCCCACTCCACTATGATGGCAGCCAGCGTGCTGGCTCATACCCACTTCAACTATGATGGCAGCCAGCGTGCTGGCTTTGCCATCTGGACAATGGCAGCCAGCGTGCTGGCTTACCCACTTCAACTATGATGGTAGCTCAACAATGGCAGCCAGCGTGCTGGCTTACCCACTTCAACTATGATGG